CTGCTACTGTTACTACTACTGCTACTGCTACTGTTTCTGCTGCTGCTGCTGCTGCTGCTGCTGCTACTGCTACTGCTACTGCTATTGCTACTGCTACTGTTACTACGACGACGGTCACGACGACGACGACTATTACTACTACTACTACTACTACTACTACTACTACTACTAGTACTACTACTATTACTACTTTTGCTGCTACTGCTACCATCACTACTCCTACTCCTACTACTACTACTACTACTACTACTACTACTGCTATTGCTACTTCTACGGCCTACGACTACGACATTAGTACGGCTACTACCGCTGCTGGTGTTGCTGCTGCTATTACCATGGCTGCTGCTACTACTACTACTACTGCTGCTGCTACTACTACTACTACTACTTGTACTCCTACTCCTACTTCTACTTCTACAACTACTATTACTAGTACTACTAGTACTACTGGTACTACTACTACTACTACTACTACTACTACTGCTGCTACTACCTCTTCTACTACGACTACTACTACCGGATCTTGTTCCGCCAAGTACGGATGCATGTGTCCTGCTGTTGTCTTAGTCCTTTCGTGCGTGAAAGCAACAGAAAGTTGCTTTCGCCGATACCACGGGGAGTCTTGATTACCCGTGTTGGCATGCATGCTGTCGTGTTGGCTGCTTGTCAGGTCATGCTGTTCATGAAAGGATCCAAAGTGGAGCCCTTTTGCAAGTTCTCGAAGCAGGCATATGCTGCCAGGGGTAGTATGAGATGTTTGCAACATCCGAACAGCAGGGAGCCAGCATGCAAACCGAATGCTAGCAGGGCTGCAATCTTGAGGGCAGTGGTTCTCAATAGCACAAGTTACCAGCCCAGTTGGGCTCGCAGGCTTGACAGCATGTGGGCTGTGCTGCGGCACTGTTTTCCCAACACAAGGGGCACTCTTGCCTGTGACCTGTCCGGCCGGCACAACATGTCGCAGAAGGCGATCGCAATTTTGGAGAAGCACAGCATCGAGTACTCCACCTTCGACATTTTGCAGGAGCCGGTTTCCCTTTGAATTCCGTCTCGACACCATGCAACACTCATACCGTTCCATGCCGCATATGTCTGATGATGCGGTGAAGTGAACGTGCTACTAAGTTTTGTGCTGCCGACATACATTCATGTAACATCAACCTACGAGCGTACGACCCATTTTTTGACGCCTGCTTCGCAAACACATCCTTGCAGCCTGAGTTTGGCTCAGTGACGACCCTACACCGACGGTCTGTCATAGGCGGTCTGTCATCCAGCACGCCCAGCAAGAAAGCTTCGTTGACCCGTATCAAGGGATTCGTGCCCATCACAGAAACTATGTCGTTACCAGAGCACTCCCTGAGCCTGCCTTTCTAACTGGAAAACCCAAAATGTCCCCGAAAGTGAAAAGTCATTCCAAGAATCCCATGGCGGTCTTGTGAGCAAGCTTGGGCACCGAGCTTTTTCCCCAAGTACTGTGGGGAATTAGGAGGACTGCAGATCCAGGACCAACACGAGACTCATGCTTCGCACCCTTGGCTCAGAGGGTCCAGAGGCACACTCCGGATCCGTTTCCCCAAAGACTGCTGCGATGAAAAGTCGTGCATGCGGTGTTGTTCACAATGAATCCCGGCCCTGGCGCGCGCGTCTCGCGAATCCCTCCTCAAATCATGGGACACCAGCGAAAACTATGCCCCGCACAACAGCGACCTGCGTCAGAGTCAGCGCATCCTTTGCACATAATAGGAGGTCGGGACCAGATTACCAGCATTTGCTGTACATAATAGGACGCGGGAAACCGCCTTGCCGTCAGAGAGCCGCACAAGTGCATATCCAGCCTCGGGCCACCGGTATAGCAGGAACCGCACGACGAGAATCTTCCGAGCGGTGATGTACCTGTGAGATGCTGGATAGTGTTTTGGTTTCTTCATGTCAATGACCTCAGGCACATGCAAGCCGAGTTCAATCAAAATGCCCGTCACGAGACATGTCTTTCGACAAACATGCAGACTTTCTTGGAAGGACGAAGATGTGCGTCAAGGCCTTAAGGACGAGCTGCTGAGCGTGGTAGTAAAGGATCCTGAGCACGAGATGTGTATGAAAGGACTTCTCCGACTGGAAGACATATCCTCAGCTGCACCTTGTCTTGCTAAATCGAGTCAGTTCGTGCTAAAACTGGCTTCCACCGTGATGGCGGACCTCGCACATGCGAGATAGTGATAGCACACAATTAGAGCAGCTCCCATCACTAGCATGATTGGCTGAGGAGCTCTGCAACTGTCAATATTCCGTGCATGCACAAGCCCTCCCATAACATTATTTTCCTACCCCATGAAGACCCCAACCGGTTGTTGCTTGGGTTGCGGTGCACCACGTGGCATGCATTGCTCATGACCACGCGAGTCAGGTACGTCAACGGAACCCTTTTAGGTGGCGTTGACATCTTGAAGGACGGAACTTTGCTTCCGCATCCTGAATCCCACGATGATCGAAGATGCGATTTCATTCGGCGTAAGACGTGCCAGGAAATGGATGAAGATGGCTCACTACTTGAGGCTGTTGGAGTCACCAAGGAGCAGCCGCTTCAGGACCTCGAAGCTCAGTAGGGTTTGGAATGTGAGGGGAAGTGTGGCTGACACACATTGGCATAGACTCTCACACATACTGATGCCCACACACGCACAAACACACGCACTCACACAGGCTTATACCTACTTGTTTACTTGCTTACTTATTTACTTGCTTACTTGCTTGCTTACTAATTAACTAACTGACTTACCTACTTACTTACCCACTTACTTGTATACTTACTTACTTCTTTACTCCTTTTACTTGCTTACTTACTTAGTTACTTGCTATTATAATCTAATTTACTTATTTTCTTATTTATTTACTTACTTACTTTCTTTCTTTCTTACTCACTTCCCTACTTTTCTTGCGTACTTGCTTACTTGCTTACTTGCTTGCTTACTTAATTGGATACTTGCTTACTTGCTTACTTGCTCACTTACTCACTGACTTACTGACTTACTGACTTACTGACTTACTGACTTACTGACTTACATACATACTTACTTGCTTGCTTGCTTACTTACTTACTTACTTACTTACTTACTTACACACACACACACTCACTATCGCACACTCTCACTCACACAGACACACACACACACACACACTCACACACACACACACACACACTCACTCACACACACACACACTCACAC